GGGGAGCACTCAACAACCAGCCCCCTCTGCACAGCAATGGATCCAGCTGTGCTCTCCTGCCCTAACAGCCCATCAGCATCAATAATTCACGCACCAGCCCGGGCTTGGTAAATAAGAAATGCACTTCAGCCTGCCCAGCGGGAGGGGGGATCTCCCGAGCCCCCCTGCAGGGACTGCGTCCTACGGGCTGCCTGGCTCCTGCAGGGAGGGGGTCAGGTCGACACAGATATCTGGGTGCGGATCCTTTACCTGGGCCCTGGGGCCGCTCTCTGCGGGGATGGTGGGTGTCTGTGCTGTGCCAGTCAGAGTCACTTCCGACCCAGGTTACGTTCCCAGGATCCCCTCAGTAACTGCTCTTGGCATTCAGATTACAGATGAACTTGGGTAATAGACGAGCTCTTCCTCTCGCCCTCTGGGCTTCCGTCTCCTGTTCCCATCTGCATGGAACAGCCTCCCTCCGCACGCACCAAACACCCCCCCGTAAGCCAGGTCATCCAACAGCAGCGGTTCAGTCCCCGTTCTTCGGCGTTGGGTTTTGCTTCTCCACATCCGACAGTTTGACATGAATCCAACAGCTACACCTGGCCCGGTTCTCCACAGGGGCTGGCCTGGCTCACTCCCCGCGGCTGCTTGATAGCCTTGTAGCCAAGGACCAGGTGACCTGAATCTTATCACCTGGCCTCAGACTATTCACCTGGGAGGCAGCTAATTAGTCACAGGTGGGGTGCAAGCCACGCCCCCTCAAAGGGCCATCCCACCGTAGGACACCATCCCCCTCGTCCTTCTTCCAACAGTGGGGATGATCCTGTGACCTACTGTTTTATCTGGAGGGCTAAGCATTAGAGTGGGTGCCAGGAACTCCCAGCTTCTGTTCCCTGCTTTGCCCCTTGAGCAAGGTCCTACCACCTCGCTGGGCCTGTTTCCCCATCAGTAACAGGGATAATGACCCTGGCCCACCTCCTAGAGCGGCAGGTTGCAGGACTTGAGAGCATGGCTAGTAGGAGCTCATTGCACTGAGGGTGACTACACTGGTGCTATTGCACTGAGTTCAGATCTCCAAGCATATGGGGTGAAATTGACCCCTGTGCCGAGGGGCCAGGTATCACTTAACCCACAAGGCCTCTGTTCCTCTTCGGTCCATGGGAGCCTAACTTTGCTGTCTCCCTGCCCTGGCGTGAATTTCCCCCAGTGCACAATCTAGCATCCCAGTGCCGCAGCAGCTAGGAGCTACTCTCCCGTGTATCCCATCTTACTGGTGCCAAAATGCCCTCCCCCCACCCCCCACCCACACACCATACCTACACACGCTGAGCTGAGTCCCTGGCTTGCAGTCACCCCGGCTCTCCTCGAGACAGGTGCAGGCGACGTCTCTGGGGGATCAGAGCAGGTTTGAACAGAACGTAAGAACGGCCAGACTGGGTCAGACTAATGGTCCATCCAGCCCAGTATCCTGTCTTCCGACAGTGGCCAGTGCCTGGTGCCCCAGAGGGAATGAACAGAACAGGGAATCATCCAGTGATCCATCCCCTGTCGCCCCTTCCCAGCTCCTGGCAAACAGAGGCCAGGGACACCGTCCCTGCCCAGCCTGGCTAATAGCCATTGATGGACCTGTCCTCTGTGAATTTATCGAGTTCTTTTTTGAACCCTTTGCTGTGACCTTTGCCATTTTCCCTCCTTCCCACCTCACATTTGTGTATTGGGTTGAAAGCTTGTTGCACAAGTATTTTGCAGCTTTCCCTGTAACCCTGACTCTGCATCGCTTGGATTCCCCCCGTGCCTCCTGCTCTTCATGGCCACTGGCTTGGCCCACGTGCCCACTGCGGACGGGCGGGAGGAGGGACGCAGGCTGGCAGAAGAGTTCTCCAGACACAAAGATGCTGCAGCACTCACAGCAACCCCGGCAGTTTCTGATCTGGATTGAGACTCACTCCTGCAACCATGGGGACCTCTGGTGAGGACCCAGGAGGACATGAGGATTCTTCAGTAAAGAGCCAGCACCTTACAGCTGGCAGTAGAGTTACTGCAGCCCTCCGACACCTTACTCCAGCGTCCAGTACTTGCATAGGATGGGCTGTTTCTCCTGGATGTCGCAGCATTGCAGGGCGCTCTGGGGAAAGCAGCTCTGTGTCTAACTGGGACACGGGAACGGCCACTGTTGTCTTGGCGAGCCAGCTGTGGGGAGGGGGGAATAGGAGACTCTGCTCCAGAGACACATGAGGCCAGGGAGCTGCATGGTAGCACGGCTGCTTTCGCCCCAGCGCATTGTTGACTGGCAGCAGCCGGGACGTTCGCAGTCACCTTGGCTCACAGCGGCTAGATTTGGACACAGGTGGATGTTGAGCCAACTGGCAGCCCTGGAGCTAGAAGTCACCTGCTTTTTCACAGAACTGGGACAGTGATGGGCAAGCGTCCCCTCTCCCGAGCCTGCTGACGTCTCAGCACAGAGCTGGAAGAGCCACCCCTGGGGCGAGAGAGGAGCCCAGTCTCCAGGACTTATTTCACCCTTGGCCTCCCCACTGAGAACGGCCAGCCAGCGGGGCGGGGGCATGTAGTGCCGATTGAACGGAGACCCACCAACTCATTTCACATAGGGGCCACCCGATGGTTACGTCTGTCAGCCCCTGCCAACCTGGGCTGCCTTTGAACCAGCGCGCTGCAGGGGCAAGTCGCCACATCCCATCCCCTATTGGTATTTAATAGGTTGTGCCCAGAGGCCTTGGTCAGGATCGGGGCCCCTCTACGCAGGCAGTGCCCCTCCAAAGCACCCCCTCATGGCCAGGGGGGCTCTATGGTCCCTGCCTCCGGTTTCTCCTCACCAGGGTTTTCCATCCCTTCCGGGGCTTCTCAGCCCTCCAGCAGGGTCACTCTCAGGGTCCAGGCCCCTTTTTGGGATAACAAGAGTCCACCCAAGAGCTCTTCCACCTCACTTGGGCCCTTCGTCAATCCACTCCCAGCCCCACCTGGCCGCAGTCTTTTCCCTGCAGAAGCCTCTCTGGGGAGCAGTGACTTGGGCTTCCCACCTGGAGGCTCAAGATTGCAGGAACCCTCCTCTCCAACCAGCTCTCAGCTGGGCTTTCCCCCTTTTCAGTCCCACAGCCCAGGCAGGTGTCGCAGGCTGGCCGGTTGCCCTGTTACACACCAGCAATGCTCAATGTTGCCCCAATGGCCCCTGCTCCAGAGAGTTCACAGGCTAAGAGAGGCCCCCTCCAGGCTCTCGCTGGTTTGGGATGGTGAAAGCAGACATCGTAGCTTGGCCTGGGTCCTCTTACTGGGGGTGGCCTGGACCAGGATGGTCTCGCACTGATCTGTATCCTCAGCTGGGCCTTCAAGTTCTAAGGTCTGGTCCTTGGTGCGAGGCTGGGACGCCAGTAAGAATCCCTCCCACCCCCTGAGGAAGGGGAGCCACAGTTACAGCTCCCGCAAACTCCCCTTCCACATGGTTTTCAGACTTGGTTTAGGGAATGACTGTAATTAAACCCTCCAACTCCATTCCCTGTAATTTCAAGCTCCCAATATTTGTACTGGTGGTTTTGACGGGAGATGTGTTATTCAGACCATTCAAATCTAGATAAACTCGCCCCTTCCTGGGATTTGGCTTTAGCAGTAACCTAAATTCCAGCTCAAGCCTTCCCTTCAGGCTTGGCTACACCTGTTGTTCCTCCCTCAGGCCTGCTCAGCCCACACCCTAGATCCTCGCTCTCTTTCTTTCTGTCCAGAACCCACTTAACCCTTTCTTAGCAGAATCGGCCCCTCCTCAGAGGGTGGGGATGTTTCAGGTTTAAACTCCCAGCTGGGCACAGCCTGGCCTGTGGGCTCAGGCAAGTCCCTTCTCTGTGCCAATGACCGTAATAATCTTCCTCTCCTCCCATGTTTGTTGTAAGTTCTGATTAACGAGTGTGTCTGTAAAGTGTTTTGGGGTGTGTGGGTGCTAGGCAAGAGCAAAGGAGTAGAATTAGCATGAGTGTGTGTGTGTGTGGTGACCTAGATGCATAGCTCCTCTGGGGCCTGTCTCTGCCAGTCTGGGTGGCTGTGAGATGCCAGGGATTGTTGCTATCTAGACGCTGGTTTATTGCCACTTGAGTTTCTCTCCAGCCGGGCTGGCTGTGCGTCACACTTGCTTAATCACAGTTGCCATCAATGGAAGGGACTTATCCACAGCCACTCAGCAAGTCAGGCCCAGGAGTCCTGACGAAAGGGGACTAGATAAATCAAAGGGTATTTCTCAATCGCCTGCAAAGCATGTGTCTGGTGACCTGGGCAGCAGGAAGGGGGGGGGGCTGTTATTGTGTTTTGGGAGTCAGGACACCGGGGTTCTGTTTCTGACACCGTTCACGGGACTTGAATCTCCTCTGACTTTCCCGGAGGTGACTTTGCTGGCGCTCCAGTAGCACGAGGAGAGACTCGGGCTGCGTCACGTCGCCAGTGCCCCATCTGGGCATTTGCAGTGTCTCTGCCAGGGGGGGCATCTGTGCTAACACTCCGCACTTACCATCTCCAAAGCAGGAGAAATGCGCATTGCCCAGAGCCCGTGGGCCCCATTCTGATCTCATTTACCCCGGGCGACTCCTCTGGCTCGACTTCCTGCTGATTCGCACCAGTGTAAGTAAGAGCAGAATCAGGCCCCCTGGGGCCACATTGGGGATTTCTTTCTTCTGATTTCGGGTGAGGGTGACAAAGAGCTCTGGCTGCAGTGGCCTGATTCCCAGCTGTTTGAACTTCGGGGCGGGGGGCGAGGGGGGAGAAGTGCTACAGAGCCCAACGACAGCATAGCCCACTCCCTCTGCACAGCGAGGACACGCAGTGCAGGGCAGAGAAGAACCAGACTCAGTCGTGTCCTGCTCCCACTTGGCTGCTTGGCTCTCCTGCCCTGAGACAGGCCAGATCCTCAGCTGAGTCACACCCCGCTGCAGACGGGAGCCCCAGGGGAGCGGATGGGTTCAGTGGGAGTCGGTCTCCTTGCTAACAGCTCTCCTTCTGGCCTGCCTTTCGCCCCTTCCCAGGAAGCATCATGCTGACCAGTATCGCCGATGGGATCATGTGTTGCCTGATGGGCAAGACAACCAACGCGGTGGGGCCCGTGGACAGCGTTGAGTCCAGCGACGGCTACAGCTTCCTGGAGGTGAAGCCCGGGAGGGTCCTGCGGGTGAAACACACCCTGCCCACCCGCCAGTCCGAGGAGGGGCCCGAGGAGGGGCCCGAGCGGGGCATGGTGCACTGTAAGCGCAAGATCACCCTCTACCGCAACGGGCAGCTGGTGATCGAGAACCTGGGCGATGCCATCCGCTCCGAGCTCCTGCACTGCCAGAACGGCCCTGTGGAGCCCCAGAGCACCATGGAACTGGAGCTCTCGGACGTTGCCGGCAATGCCTCCACCCAGGGCACCGCTGCCAACCCGGCCTCCGGCGCCCGGCAGGCTCCAGCGCCCGGCAAGCGCCGGAAGCGCAAGCCCAAGAAGGTCGTCAACATCGACTGCAAGAAGCAGATCAGCAGCTGCAAGGGGACGCAGAGCGACGTGGTGCTGTTCTTCATCCACGGCGTGGGCGGCTCCCTGGACATCTGGAAGGAGCAGCTGGACTTCTTCAGCAAGCTGGGCTATGAGGTGGTGGCCCCGGACCTGGCCGGACATGGCTCTAGCTCCGCCCCTCAGATCGCGGCCGCCTACACCTTCTACGCCCTGGCCGAGGACATGAGGGCCATCTTCAAGCGATATGCAAAGAAGAGGAACATTCTGATAGGCCATTCATATGGGTAAGGCACTGGCGGGCGGCAGGGAGGCTGGCACGGCGGGTGCCCAGGAGGGGAGAGATTGGGGTGGGTAACTCCCCACCCCAGCATAGTCTTCCCTAGTGAATGGGTCTCTCAATTCCTCCATCAAGTGGTAGCTGAACCGACGAGGGGAGAGGCCATTTTAGATTTGATTCTGGTAAGTAGTGAGGACCTCGTTGAGGAAGTGGTAGTAGGGGACAATTTGGGCTCCAGTGATCATGAGCTAATTCGGTTTAAAATACAGGGAAG